AATGATAGGTAAATTATAAGAGCGAGTATTATACAGGTATACAAGAGAATTATACAAGTATACGGCATCAGCACTTATTAGTGCCTATTTCAGCTCGCAAATGATGGCAATTCACTAATTAAGCTTAAGAAGTTACCAAGCAGGAACATTCTTCTAGCATAAACCAGAGTTTGATCATATCTGGAACTGCATATGATTGTTCAAATCATCTGGGATATCTGCGGGATCATATCTCCTATGTGCCATGTCCCTCCATATTCAAAATCCCGAAGTCCTTTGACATCCTTATTTAGATTTTACCTGAAGTACTCGGTTATACCAAATTGAGTGAAGGATCATGTGAAACAAGTCGTACCTTACAGGACTTCTGTGCCAAAGGAAATACTGTTGAACAATCTTCAGCCTACGCTGCATCTTCATGTACTTCTCCTCAGGAATTGAAAGGAGAATGTTTCTCAAGTCTGTAACATCTTTCTCCAAAACAAAGACAGAAAATGATTCCCAGTCGAAAACTTCAAAGAAAGGAGGCACATAATTATCTGATATGATCACAGGTACACACTCAGAGTGTATGGACTCCACAACTCTTGGGGTATGGACTTCGTAACCCCTTGCACAGATGCAATATTTGCTGCTTTTCATAAGATCCCTATATTTTGCTTTACCCTCAGGATCACGAGGCATAGGCCCAAAAATCTTCATATCAGGTTCTTTCTCACTCCAATGTTGCAATAATATAGGACGGAGATAACCATGAATACCTCCAGCAAAAAAGGCAAGCACAGGTCTTGCTGAAGGAGGATTTCCTCCGAAATCTTTGAGCGGGTCTTCAGCTGAACGAACATAGGTTACTGGCAGAGAGACATCCTTCCCTATCTTGAAGCCTCCAGCTATATTTGAATTGCAGAGGACTCTAACACAGGTTTCCATGTTCTTCCTCGTGAGTCGGAGTGCCTATAACGTACTTTTACTTTTAGTAAAAGAATGATAGATGGACACCTCACAGCAACATAAAGTGTTGAACGTGATAGTACTCCAGATTTGTAAAAAAGAACGCTATCCAAGTTGCAGATTCAGAAAACATCCAATAATTCTTCCAAACTCATCTTTTCCCAGAGAAATGGAAGAATAAAAAACACTACTATATGCTTTGACTATAAACTTGTTATTGAAAGGGAAAAAAACTACTTCATTCTTTTGCTTCCCTTAAGTTGTCAAAAACGGTTTCTGGGGAGAATGAGTAGATTGACACAATTAGACTGCCAAAGCACTATGGAACGCAACATTCGCAATGGAATAGAGTTCAAGAAAAAGCATACCCAATCATGACAAGCAACAAAAAAATGATCAGCTCCTCTGCTTCTATTCCAGAAATGATATTTTCTAGAAATTCTTCCAATGTAATTGCTCAGATGATTTTCCAAATCTTTCTGATGAGTAAAATTTTGTTTTGATAGAGCTTCTCGTAGCTTCAGAGAACTAAAAGGCAAATAGAATAAGTGAGCCCTTTTGGGATCTTTCACAAGAAACTGTTTGTTTTTCTCCATCAGTTTCATGAACCACCCCTCAGAAGCGTAAATACCTCGCATATACGGGTGATGGAATATTGGTTTTTCCCCTTCTTTATAAACATAAACTTTAAGGACACGTTCCATCAGCTCATAGCTCCTGCAAAAGGATCGAACAATTCAACATCTAGAACATACTTTTCCCCAAAATAAGGTTGAATATTTGACTCAATGACTATGAGAGTACAAATTGAAACTGTCTTTCAATTTTCTATAGTGTCTCAGAATCTCATACCATCAAATGCAAAAACTCTAATCATTGAGCACCAGATACCACCTCAAACACCAAGAGGTGGATCACTTGAAACAAAACTAAGCAGAAAAGAATGTAACAATTAGTCAGCTCAGAGGACTAGTATATAGTTGTACTTGAAAATAGAGATACTATTGACTTTAGGCTTTAATATTCAAGAAATTGCTCTTCTTAACAGTATACATCTGGGAAAAAAATCAAATATTTTGGCATGGAGGAATCAATTTTCCCAGTTGATAAACTTTTCTCAAGCTTTTCCTATATCTGACCCAGTAATCAGTAGTCCCTCAATGGGGTCTTGGGAGGGTATGTGTATGCAGCCTTACCCTACCTTGCCAAGGTAGAGGGACCGTTTCTCATGCGCCTTTGGCCTAAATAATGCATATATATATATAAAAAAACAATATGAAAAGGAATGACAGTAGCAAAGATGAAACCATGCTGAAAATAATGGAGAAAAGAACCGTACCAAGAACAAATAATACGATTACCTAAGCAGAAGGTAATAAAAACATGTAAGACAAAAAATGTAATAGCTATATTGCAGCAGGAAGACTCTAGATTTTGGTAATGACCACATGAGTTGCAATTACATCAACTCTAATAAAGCATCTCACAATACATTAAAGTATGAACACATTGATATAAGTGTTAAATTCCAAGAATCAAAAACAAATCCAATTACCTCCTAAACTTGGAATAATTTCGAAAGACAGATGAATGAAATTCAGGAATGGTATTTATTATTGGAGCATTTTCAATCTGAACCTTTGCATATCGGAGTTCCCCTTCACGTGCAGAACGCCATTGTGATCTCTACAACAAAAATCTCAAGCAATTAGATAACAAAAATGAATTGGTAATCAATCTCAACTCAAGTTAGAATTGACATCTAAAACTCATACCACTAAACTAATACTAGAATTCTGCTGCACTAAAGAGTTCATGTAGGAGATTGATGCTGGTCTTCTACTCTTACTGTTGATACCAGCTCGTAACATATTAGAATTGGAACTCGTTGCCTCATTTTCCGATAACGATACCGACTTATTACCGGTATCTGCAATCACATTCTCCCAACCATTTGGACGAGCTGCAGGTAGCTTAAGCTGCAAAATCTGACCCGATCCATTCCTCATTCTCCCTAGACTTGAATATATACTTACATTCAAATAAAACCCTGTAGTTGAATTAGCATTCAATCTCTTTTCTACATAAGTACTGTTGCCCAATTTCTGAAACCCTAACACTAAATCAACTTCCACATTACTCCTCTTTTCATCAGTGGCCAAATCAGTTTCAGCTTTGAACCCAACTCCATCCGCATTTGATAGAAGAGATATGTAATTCTCATATGGAAGTGCCACTAATTGCGATATCACCGCAACAACAGCTATAACAATTCCAAAAATTGACAACAATTTTTTGACGCTATGAACACAGCATAACCTTTGGAATTGAAGTTCAATCCCCATCTAACAAAACCCAGTAGCTTGCAGGGAGTTTTCGTCACCTCTATTCAGAATTAACAAACAAAATAGTACCAAAAAATTGAGAAGTAAACATGAAAACGACTAAAACAGTAACCCCTATTGAAGCACAAAATGTGAACAAATAATTACTACAGAGAAGAATAGGAGCTTCAGCTCAGCTATGGAGATTTAAGTTACTGTACAGAGAAATTAGCCATTTGAATTTTGATGCCGACAATGTACGTCAACGAATATATCATTAATTAATATAGTTAAAGCATGATGAAAAGAAAAGAAAAAATGATCGTAGCAAAATTAACCATTAAAAAAAAGTTAAAAGTATTTTTCTAATCCAATAAAATATAACTTTGTATTTAAAAATATTAGCTAAACTCGTATAATAGTAGTGAGTAAAATCAATTATTTGTTCTTCTATATTTACCAAAGTTTATTATTAAATGGAGAAGTGTTTTAAATTACTAATGTTTGGTTGACAAATTAAAATTTCGCTTGATCTTTTAAGTAATTTATGTAGGGTAAAATGTGAAATAATTAATGCATATATAATTAATTCTTGTACTATTAATATCTAATTAAAAATAATACATAAATTTTACTCTTAATTAATACATAAAATACTTAGCTTTCATCTATGCATTCAATAGTCAATTAATCATGATTAAATTAAATAATGTGGGTTGTGCATAAGTGTTTTGTATGAAATTAGTTATTATAATTATATTTTTTAATTGTAATTTATCTGCTTTTGTAATTTAATTTTTTTTGTAAAAGTGTAATCCACTCATATTTGAAATAAATTTGGTTTGATTTTTCTCTATTTGATTCGATTTTTTTTAATTTGATTATTCAATTATGTGAAATAATTAATAACATAATCAAAGTAATAATATTAAGTCCCTTAAATATATTTTCTAATATAAATTATAAGAAAAACTTAAAACACAATACTCATAAATACACATATTCTAGATGTTCAAGTATAAAATATAAACGTAACATCGTGAATGACGATAACCAAAAAGAAATAAAAGCTGTTAAATTACTTCATTAAATCATATAATAATGTAAATTAAATTACTTTGATGTAAACATCCGGTGTGGATAATCCCCCCTCCCCACTTAAATATACTTTCATTTTTTAAAATCCGAAATCAAAACAAATAAACAAACAAAGTAATTTACTAATCTAAAACCTATATCCCGATACACTCACAGTGATAAGGACATGATCATTACGGGTGAGCAATAGCCCCTTTTTTCCCTTAAATTTTGTTCAACTACATATTAAATTTTTGAAATAATTTTTTAAATTTTAATTACGTTTTATTATTTAATTAAATACTAAACTTGGAAAATAAAAAACTTCTAAAACATATTAGCTTACGTGTATTTTAACTCTACTCTTTTAACTATTAGGTATCGTCTGATAGAGTATGGGAGAAAATATGATATACAATTTACTATTTTTAGCTCACGATACATTAGTACAAGGTATACTGTATCCAGTATTAATATATAAGCGGAGGATACCTGACATGCCTGCCTGACAATTACACAGATATTTTATTTTATTCGCTTTAATCTATTTATTTTATTTTTATACGAATTAAAAATTACATAAAAAGTACTATAAATCATGATAATTGACAATTTCAAATATTCTTTAATTGCTTATAAAAAATTTGATAAAATAATAATGGAAGAAACTATATATTGCTTCGACATTTTTATTAAGTGACATAGGAAAAGCATAGTTCTGCACTAATATTATTATTACATATAAATTAACCTCCATTCTCTGTATGAATGAGAGAAAAATCTATCCTTAAATTTATTTAACTATAGAATATTGAGCGAAATAAGAAAGACTAGCAATAAAGTCCGTAGCCAATTACAACTCTTTTAGTGATGAATATAGATATCTTTTTTTTAAGGATAAATTTCAATTAAAGACCTTAATCCAAGAGAGGTTATTATTTTATACCCACTAAAACCAGCCTCCAAAAAGAGTTTTTCCCATTCTTTTTCAGTCCTCTCTTTTGAAGCATAAGTAATCCTCATTATTAAGTCCATCAAGTGTTGTGATTGAACAAGTTGCTTATTGTTATAATTATCTTCCATTATCATGTCAATGATTATCACCTTCCCTCCATTTTCTCTACTCGAAATTGACTCTTTACATTTCTTCAGTAACTTCACACAATCTTCATCATCCCAATTATGCAAAATCCACTATTAAAAACAACAGTAAATCATTAGGAATATTTCCCTTATAATAGTAACATATGAAATTCTTTATCATATATTAAAAGGAAAATACCCAAGTAGCCCCTCAATCTATGCCCGAGATCCAAGAGACACACTTATACTATACTAAGATCCTATTATCCCCCTGAACTTATTTTATATGTAATTTTCTACCCCTTTTTAGCCTACGTGGCACTACTTCGGGAAAAAAAGTCAACCATCATTGGGCCCACAAGATAGTGCCACGTAAGCTAAAAGGGGTAAAAAATTAATAATAAAATAAGTTTAGGGGGTAATAGGACCTTAGTATAGTATAAGTGTGTCTCTGAGATTTCGGGCATAGACTGAGGGGATACTTGGGTATTATCCCTATATTAAAGTAACTAACTGAATTTTTTTGGGGGTTAAAACAACATTGTTTATGTGAAACTCAATTTTAAGGAGTCTTACCACTACACCATCAGTTTTTATTTTGTTATTAAAGGGTTTCACAAAATATAGACATAATACATATATTTGATCCTAAACTTGACTTCAAATTTTAACTTTGACCTTCAACTTTCATAATGCACAAACAAACATTTTAATTATCCAACTTTTAAATAAATAAACACATGAGTCCTACATGACACAATACACGTAGGACACCACGTAGGATAAAAAATGACATGTAAAACATGTGTGTTTATTTGTTCAACTTTATACAAGTTTAAGTGACTACTTGTTCACACCCATAGTTGAAAGACATAAATGTAATTCAAAGCTAAATTAAAGGGTATATTTATGTATTATGCCAAAATATATATCTACGAAATGTAGAAAATTTACCTTATATATAATCTAATTTTTTTACCGAAGGAATTCGGCTGAACTCCAAGGACCCAACGTGGGTCTGCCCCGTTAAGACCATGTAATTTTCATGATATATATTCAATTGTTATAACGTAACAAAATTGATATAGTAACACTAGTTAAAAGTGAGAAATTTTCACCGAAAACTTTTCTAACAATTCAATTTTCGAAACAATATGTACCTTGAGTAAGATTGCGTTGGCATGAGGAATTTTATCAAACATACTCCCAGCAACAAACTCCAAATTTCCAGATCCCTTTCGATCAGCAATAACATGAGGGAGATCAAGCACAATACATTTCAAGCTCGGAAAAGCTCCGGCGATAGCCATCGCCACGGCACCGGTGCCACCTCCGATGTCCACCAATGACGTCAAGCCTTCAAATACACCGGCACAACAATCAGAAATCAACAAATTAGACATCAATCTCGAATCGCCAGCCATAGCATCATTGAAAACACCATTAAACTCCGGATCTGCACCGCAATAATCCCAATGGGATTTTCCATCCGCTGTTTCAAAGGCGGTGCGGAGATCGTCCTTTAACCAATCGCCGACAGAAGCAGCCGTGTTCAGCACAACGGGATGTTGGGCGAAAAGGAAAAATGACCTGTTACCAAAGTGGTGATTTTCAACGAGGAGACGGCCAACAGTAGTGAGCGAATAGCCGTCTCCTTGTTGTTGGTGATAGTTGAAAAGGCCAAAATCAACTAAAACTCGCATTAAAATGGGGATAAATGTAGTTTTTGAAGGATTCAAATTTGGCAAAGCGGCAATAAGATCAGAAAGAGACATGATCGGATCGGCATTTTTGTGAAGGATATCTGGAATTCCCAATTGAATTGCACATTTTATACATGAAGGACGCAAATAACTCAAAATATAATCCCAACTTTGAGCTTCAGCTTCTATTAGCTCATAAGCACAAATATTGTTGTTACTGGCCATTGTGTCAAATAAGAAATACAGCGTTAACTAATGAAAGATCTATGAATTACCACCCACTTTTATATATATAGCGTGTTATCCCATTCATTTATATTTTACTTTTTATTTTTATATTTATAGACTATCTTTTATTTCACTCTTTATTCTTCATTTATTTTTAATATATTATTATTATTATTATTTAATTAACATATTATTTTACATTTAATATTCATAGTTCTTTTTAAATATTATAATATAATTTTTTAGATTATATTTTTTTAATATATACTATTTTCATTCTGAATTAAAATATTTTAATTTTTTCTAATTCTTATCAATAATATACTTTTATTTTATTGTTAATTTTTCACTATAAAGAATGCACAAAATCAACATGATAAGTTTAAAATTTTTAATTTAAAAATACTATATATAACATGATAATTAATTAATCACAACAATAATTTAGTAACCCGGTAGGTCGTTTTCAAATTTTAATAGTATTCGAAAAAATAGGAATGATCGTAGATGAAAATATCTTATTTGAACAATTTTTAGCTAAAACATAAGAATAAAAGTACTCATTTTGAATTCCATAATGCATTAATAGAACATTTATGGAAGCAAAATAATAATTTTTAAAGTTGAGTGTTCATGCAATGCTTATGTAATTGCATTTCACTTATATTTGAATCTGCTATTAATTTGCATAATATATAATATTTTCTTGCAATTTATGTTATGCAGAAATTTAGAATAAAATATAATTTTATATTAAATAAAAATTTTGAAAAAATAAAATTTTATATTACATGAAAACTATATAAAGTAATTATTTGGAAAAGAAAGAAAGAAAGAATTTACATCTATAAGAATGAAATAGAAATAAAAATATACTCTCTCCGTCCGGTATTATTTGTCATAATTTTTACTTTTAGAGTCAAACTATAAAAAACTTTGACTAACATTTTAAGATGTATTTTTTCATCATGTTAATATACAAAAATTTACAATTTGTAGTACTTTTTATATACTTTTAGAATATTTAATTTTTTTGTTTAAAATATCGAATTAATGTGATATAATATAATTTTAAAAATTAGTTAAATTGACTTTTAAAAAGTACAATATGACAAATAATTCCGGATGGAGGGAGTAATATTAAGAAGTGAGAAAATTTTCCTTTTTAGACATAAAATAAAGAAATAAATTGAAATTAGTTGAGGACGCCCGATGGCTTGAAGTCAAGGGATTCTTTAATGCTACTGATTTAGGTGGTACTAACTAGGATTAGATTGAGTTACGTACCCATTATAATAGCAAGTACCAACCCTACAATATAGAATAATAAAACACATTTTAGTTAAAAGAAAAGAATTATTCTAAATCATATAATACTTTGGGATATATTTTTTGATCTTTTTTCATTTTAAAATAACATTATAAATGATAGTTTTTGATTTTTACTTAAAAAATTAAAAAGTTGTACTTAAAATGGAGTTAAATTACAATTAATTATAATAATAAATATTTTCTTATTTTCCATCTGATATTCGATGTCTATAATAAAGCCCTGCTAATTTTAAATTCAAACTAACTTGAATTATACCGAAAGGAGATAAAATAGGTAATCTATTTTCAGCCCTTTCATATTTTTCTTTTCAGCCGCAAAAAAATTTGCCTACTAGATCCTACTTCTTTTTTCCTTTCTTTATTTATACCTCATAACTTTTCTTTTTTTTTATGGCAAAATCATTTTTTTAAATGCTAATTACTTTATTTGTTTACCAAATATGGAAAAATTATGTCTTTTTTTTGGGTTGTTATACATCTAAAAATTGTATAACTATGAGTAATATTATAAATCATAATAATCAACAATTTAAATATTTAAAAGTTATATAAGAAAGTTAATTAACTTTTGAAATTTTTTTAATATCAATTTATAAATCATAATAATTAATAATATAAAATATATATAAAAATCACTTGACTCTAAAAAAACTTATCAGTGCTACATAAATTAGGACAGGATAAGTAATACACATGATTTAAAAATTACGTTAAATATTTAAAAGATATATTAAAAATAATTAATTTTTGAAATTCTATATATGCCACATAAATTAAAAAAAAAAGTAATGTCTATTATTTTTAAAATTACATAAAAAGTACTAACAACTTAAAATCTTTTTAAAATCATATAAAAATTTGGCTAACTTTCAAGTTCTATGACACTCCTTTTGTCCCATATTAATTGAGTACTATTCTAAAAACAGTAATCTCATATTAGTTGATCATCTTACTAAATCATTAAAACATTATTTGAAATTTTATTATATTACCCTTAGTTCATTTTGAAAGTGTAACATTGTTTGTAAAATTTTCACTAAGTTTATTAAGGGTTGAATTAGTAAAGTTATTTTTTTATTTATAATTTTTTAAATACCGTGCAAAATAAAAGATAATCAATTAATATAAGACGAACAAATATTAGACTTCGTATTAACACGAAATCGTATATATATCTAGTATATTCTATATGTGAACTTAGTTTGAGATTCATCTATATGTAAAATATCTAGTATTCTATATATGAATGAGTACTTAGTTTGAAGTTCATCTATGTGTTAAAGAAGTACATAAGATTAATGATGGCAAACGAAAAATAGATATTTTATAGGATAAGATAAGAGAAAATGTCAACCATTTAAAGTTATTTGAAGTTCATCTATGTGTTAAAAAAAGTACATAAGATTAATGATGGCAAACGAAAAACAGATATTTTATAAGATAAGATCAGAGAAAATGTCAACCATTTGAAGTTAAGAGGAGGTATTTGCTTTTTAAGTGATAATGTACTCAGTTTATACTGGAAATTTAGAAAGATATTTGTTTTATCAAAAAAAAATGTGATTTTCGAAAAAAGTTTATTTTATTTTCGACTTTATGGAGTCGCCA